CACTGCGCTCACTGCGTCTACGCTGCAAATCTTGAGGTTGTTCAAACGTTTTCGCCTTCCCTCGAGACTTTGGCGGAGGTGTAGCTTGCATCGGATTCAGTGACTGCTGCATCTGCATCTGCTGTTGCATTTGTACGTGAGGTTTGAGCACCTGCAACATCCCCACATTGGGCGTTCTTGCAAACGTCTTGTTGTACATTTCCTCTCGATTCAGCAACTCCCGCTTAAAGTAGGCCATCTCGTCCAGAGTCCGCCGTACCAGCACGTCTTTCTCGACCACCAGACGCTCCAGTTCGACAATTCGAGCCACGTCTTCAGGACGACTCTCGCGTCGAGCGTATTTGTCCTGCCACTCAGCGATCGCTGCCTTGAGACTAGCCACTTTCTCGTCCATAACACGTCGAGTTTCTTCGAATTGGTCGCTCAATTGCTTGGTCTCGGCCAGATTTTCCTCCAATAATTTGTCCATCTCCCGCTTCGCAGCGAGTTTTAGAGTCTCCACTTGCTCACGCGAACTCTTCTCTAACTCAGCTACTCTAACTACCACCTCCTGGGTCTTTGCAGCTAACGCAGCGCTTAAGTTCTGGCCTTCACGCATCGCACCGGCCCAGTCCAGAGTCTTTCTCGTTAGGGTTTCTTCTGTTGACTCTAATCGATCCCGTAACTCTCCGTATTGCTGATCGTGCGCATGTTGAGCTTCAAGAAGCGCTTCAGATCGCTCTTTGTCTTTCTTAGAGCTCAGTTCTGCAAGTTGCTTCGCAGCGTCGGCTCTTTCGGCCAGAATTGCTCGTTCTTGGCCGGAATGTAAGGTGCTTTGAAGGAGTTTCATCGCCTCAGCGTGCTCTTGCGCGGATATTTGGAGCTCCTGACGATGCTCCGCTGCTAGGCGAGCGAAATCCGAGTCAGCTTTGGCCTGGTGACTGGCAAGTTGGGCTTTCATCTCGTCCTTCAACCGTTTTTCCAGCTCTAATTCGTGGTTAGAGTGTCTCAATTGTAGACTCTCTAATTGCTGTCGAGCTGTTATTTCAACGTCAGAGAGCTCTGCTGCGGTACGCTCAGTGTATCGGACTATAGCGCTTCGAACCTGCTCTTGCTCAAACAGTCTGGTCTCTTCCATTGCCCTCTGCGTCTCCATCGCTTCCTCTGTAGAGCCTTTAAGGGCGTGCTGTAAACTTTCAATATCTTCGCGAAGCTTTAACAGCTGTGGCTCATACAGCTCGCGCATCGTTGTTTCTTGAAATGTAAGCTCTTTTAACCTCTGAGCTTCAAGCTGTTCAGTGGTAGTTTGCAGTGTTGTTGCGTGCGCTTGCATCAGTTGGATCAGTGCTTTAGAGTGTTCCTGCTCTAATTGATCCCTATCCGCCGTTAGGGATTTAATAGAGTTCTCACGCTGTAACTCGAGTTCTCGAATCTGCTTCTGGTGTGCTTCATCTCGTTCTTTTTGAAACTTTAAACTGGATGATTGAAGCGCGTCTTTAGCTGATTGCAACGATGATATTTGCTGTTGTGAGTTCTCAAGCTGCCGAACCAAATCAGCGCGTTTCTTCTGCAAATCTGTAAGGTGCAGCGTCTGTACCGTAAGTTGATCCTGTAACGTCTTGACCTGTAACTCTAACTTGACGATTTCATCCCGAAGTTTCGCCTGCGCTGTCTTAGACGCAACTTCGTGCTCAATTACAACACGCTGGTGCTCGCGTTTAAGCTCCGAAATCTTTTCATCAGAAGTTTTTTCCGAAGCCTCTTTCATACGTTTCTCCAGTTGTTCCAGCTGCTTCTTCGCTCCAGATCGTTGCGTCTCCATCTCGTGAGTGTGAGAACTTATTAACTGCTGGATGTTACTGTCGTACGTCTGTTTTAACGTCTCCAGCGCTCGCTCATGGTCGGTTTTAACTTGTTTCGCCTCCGTCTGGACATGCTCTAATTCTTGTTTTAATTTCGACTGCGTTAGAGCATTGTTTGAGCCTTCCGTCTGCATATCTGCAATTGACTTTAACGCAGCTGTAAGCTCCGTTTCGAGTTTCTGGATCTGGTTTTTACCGGTTTCAACCTGCTGAAAAGCGAGTTGAATCTCGCTTTTACTGTTCGCAAGTTGTAACTTGTTCTCTTGAAGCTGCTGTTTCAACTGAGCTTGTAGTTCCGACGCAGTGGCATTCTGCTGTAAAGTCTCTAACTGGGCAATCTCCAGGTCTTTCTGTGCCTGTATTAGCGCTCGATCTCGTGTTTGCAGTGTCTGCTTGAGCGTCGTAAGCTCCTGCGCTAATTCGTCGATTTTATCCGTACTAACAGCTAGCATGCGCTGTAACTCCTCTGAGTGGGCTGAGGCATCTCTGCGCACACTTTGCGAGTCTTGTTGGGCCTTAGAGAGCTGTAGTTCCAACTGTTTTATCGTCCGAGCCGCTTCTTGTTGATTTTTCACGAAATTTTCCTTCTCGTCTCGATGTTTCGTCTCGTTCCCACGGAGTGCTTCAACATCGAGTAACAGTGCCTCGATTTTAGTCACTAACTCGTGTTTCACCTCGTCGAAACTGGTTTTAGCGCTGATCTCTTGAGCCAATCTTTGACGCTCATACTCCGCTATCATCTCCTGTTTCTGCTTGTCATAATCGAGTTTCGCACTAACCAGATCGGCCTTTAGAGTGTCTTGAGCCCGCAATTGCTCGGCCAGCATCTTGCTATACTTAGCGTTAGAGGTCGTCACGAGCTGCTCCACTTCGTCTGCGTGTTTCAACCTCATCTCTTCCAGTCGTGCCTCTAACGCCACAGCTTCTTCTTGCGAGCTCAATGCTCGCTGTTTCTCTTTCTCTGCAGCTAACTGAGTTAGAGTTTCTACTCGCTCATTAAAGTGTCGTTTAGCGTCCAGTACTTCCGTCTCTAATTCCGCCACCTTAACTTTAAACGCCTCCTCCGCAGCGATACGACCGGCTTGCGTCCGTCGCTGCTGCTGCTGCGTCTCGGTCATGAATTTTTGCCTCTCCGCGGCATACTGACGCTCTCGTTGCGCTGCAGTGGCCGCTTGGGTCTGCAATTTACCCTGTAACATCCTCATCTTGTCGGCGGCATCCTGTGTAAGTTTCTGGAGCTCAGCTGTATGTGCTTCTCGAGTATGTTCCGCTTCAGCCTGATAGTCCTCGTTACGCGTATTGAGCTGGAAAATAACCTTCGTGAGCTGCGCCACCTTCTTGCACATTTTCAAGTGCAGTTCGGCCGATGCGGCCGCAGACGCGCTCATTGTTGCCCGACACGGCACGACTTCCGAAACGACACTAAGTGGTTCTTACCCCTTAAAATTAGACCGCGAGCAAGAGCTCATGTCGTTCAGTATCGTACGTCGTATAGTGCTCGTCGTGCTGCTATCGGTTGGTGTTGTACAGGGTGAGGTGAGTTTCCCGGGCGTGGAGTTCAATGCCGCGGTCGGAGAACCGGCACACGCCAGTAGCTACTACAACTACGCGCCTAACGCTCTACACGACACGGAATTCGTCCCTAGCAACGCTAACGACGGATTCCCCGACAAAACGAGCTGGTGGTCGGCCGGTGACAACGCAACAGAGCAGGTTTTCTGGCAGGTTAATATGAGTTCGTTAGCTCCGACACTTTCTCGGATCGTCGTGCGTTGGCACGGCTACCTGTCGCCCAGGAGCTACCGTATCCGAGTGTCGTATGACGGCATCGAGTTCACGAGTATCCTCGCTGTCTTTAATCTCAGCAATGCCTACGACCGAGTGGATAACCACACGGAAGGGCTCACTACACTCACGTCCAAGTTCAAATACCTCCGCCTAGTCATAGGCGACCCAAACGTCTGCAGCGACCAATTCTCGTGCACAGACGATGGAGTAAGCGAGACGACGAGCAGCACGAACGAACGCGTGGTCTACGGCATCCGAGAGGTGGAAGTGTGGGCCAAAGGGACCAGGAACGGTGCGTTCAAAGCGTTTTCGCAAAGCCTAAATCTGTTTGTAAGTGCTGATCGGATGTGCGATGTGAATTTTTGTATGTAGAGGCGATCAGACCGGCAGGAATCGACGGCAGCGTGACGGTTCTTGGTCTTTTAGTGATGTTAGTGACGGTATGAAGACGACGAGTAAGCATGAATGAAACGATGAGTACGAAGGAAGAGGCTAATGGTAGGCACTTTCTATTGGAAACAAACTGGAAACTCACTCACTACTCACTCACAAGACACACGCGCCAGTCCAAGACGCGGTTACGCGCAGAATGGGAGAAGACGACCTACACTCAAAACACGACCGCGGTCGGCGAGCGAGCGGGAGAGCAGAGCAGAGACTGGAGAGACCCAAGTCAGCTTCAAAATACGCGAAATATCCACCACGTTCTTCTGCAATAATACACGCACTCACACTCACTTCCTCTCGGTTCGTTCTCGATGGAGGGGGCTTTTTTCCAACGTCTCTCTTTTCATTGCAACCAACGACATTCGAGATGGCGCTTTGTACGGCACGGGACATAAGTCGGAAAGGCTGGGACACTTATTACAGTGCCGAGTTCTGGTCGACGGTGAAGATGTCGCCCGCCGCCTTCTTGGACTTCTTGCTCCGTCGCTTCATGTAGACTGTGCCGGCAATGGCCAGAGCGGCACACACGGCACCAGCACAGGCAAGAGGAACGGCAAGGTTGTTGCCGGCACTCTCGTCGTCGGTGCCGGACTTGAACTTGACTGCTTCTACGCTGAATGCCGTCTGCTGCTGGGTGGGGTTCTGGTCGGCTGTGGTGCTGCTGCTGTAGGAGGCACCGGCAGCCGAGGGCGAGAAAGTTAGGACCGAGTCAGAGCCCGAAGACTCGGTGCCAGAAGACTCGGCCGGAGAAGATGAGGCCGTGGACGCACCAGTGTAGGTTGCCTCGGAGCCACCGGCGGCCGAAGACTCGGTGGACGTGGCCTCAGACATGCCGGGCGAGGTGGCGGCCGAAGACTCCGTAGAAGTAGCGGCCGAAGTCTCCGTCGAGGTGCCAGCAGAAGCTTCAGTGGATGTGGCGGCCGAGGACTCTTCGTTCTCACTTCCGGCGGTGGAGAACTCCTGGCTGCACGAGGCAGATGCAGCGGTGTCGCTGCTGCCGGCAACTGAGAACTCCTGGCTGCACGAGTCATCGGCAGTGTCGGAACTGCCAGCGACAGAGAATTCCTGGCTGCACGACTCCGAGCCGGCGATGTCAAACTCCTGAGAGCAGTCGGAGCCAGCAATGTCGTACTCCTGGCTGCAGTCATCGCTGCCGGCGATGTCGTAACCCTCAGAGCAGTCCGACCCGGCCGAAGCATCGACACCAGTGTCGGTACCAGTTCCGGTATCAGTTCCGGTTCCTGTTTCCGTCGAGGTGTCGGTACCCGTTCCAGTCTCGGTCGACGTGTCGGTGCCAGTACCGGTTTCCGTCGAGGTCTCAGTGCCCGTGCCAGAGTCACCCGTGCCAGTTTTGGTACTCGTGTCGGTCTCAGTTCCCGTGCCACCCGTGCCAGTCTCGGTACTCGTGTCGGTCTCAGTACCCGAGCCAGTATCGGTACCAGTGTCGGTCTCAATACCCGTGCCAGTCTCAGTAGAAGTGTCGGTACTCGTTTCCGTTGGGGTATCAGTACCAGTTGAGGCACCAGTTTCAGTAGGGGTTCCTGTAAAAGAGTCAGACAAAAGTTAGAGACGTCATTTCTGTATAAAGTAGCGCTACCGTAGGAGGTAGGTGAAAGCAGATACATACCTGAGTTCGTGATTTCCTGCTGAGTCGTGTCCGTCGATGTGTCAGTACCAGTGCCGGACTCGGTACCGGTCTCGGTTGAGGTTTCAGTTCCCGTTCCGGTCTCAGTCGACGTGTCCGTATCGGTGCCGGTCTCGGTCGAAGTATCCGTACCAGTGGTAGAGGTGTCAGTACCCGTGCCCGCCTCCGTCGAGGTGTCCGTACCAGTTTCCGTTCCGGTTCCGGTCTCCGTCGAAGTATCAGTACCAGTTTCCGTTCCGGTTCCGGTCTCGGTCGATGTGTCTGTGCCGGTGCCGGTGCTGCTGCCTTCGGTCATCCCCTCCGATCCGGCGATGTCGTAACCTTCGCTGCAGTCGTCGGAGCCGGCAATGTCGTATCCTTCAGAGCAGTCATCGCTGCCTGCGACAGAGAACTCCTGGCTGCACGAGTCATCCGCTGTATCGGAACTGCCAGCCACAGAGAATTCCTGGCTGCACGAGTCGTCGGCGGTGTCAGAACTGCCGGCGACCGAGAACTCCTGACTGCACGATGCCGAATCTGTTGCGCCGCCGACGTCCGATGATGTGTCGGCTTCCTCGCTTCCGGCAGTAGAGAATTCCTGGCTGCACGAAGCCGAGTCCGTGCCGGCGGCACTGCCCTCTCCCGGGGACGTAGGGGCTGAACCGGCCGAAGCCTCCGTCGAAGAAGCGCTAGAGAACGTGGCCGGCGACTCACCAGAGGCGGCTGTGGATCCGCCGGAAGAGAACGTAGCTGCTGAACCTGCCGAGGCTTCGGTGGATGTGGCCGACGAGTAAGTAGGCGCCGACCCGGCGGCCGACGACTCCGGCAGCGACTGCTGCTGCGTCTGATCGGCACCCGAGACGGTGCCGCTGCTGCCGCTGGTGAGACTCGGCTCGTTGAAGTCGATGGCGTTGACCTTCGCCGCGCAGAGCACGGCTGCGAGGACCAGACTCTTGGCGACCTTCATATTCTACTGCTCTGAGATGGCCTGAACTGTTAGCACGGACCTCTTCGCTTCGGTTCTCACGAGCAGGAGTCTAATCGGAAAATGAAGAAGCGAGCGCGGCTTGCGAGATAGGCCACAGAAGCTCCGGCATCCTGGGCTGGGACTCGGCGTACAGAGAGTCAGGCATTGCGTCTGGGCGCCCAGCTGGGTGGAATCGAGCACGGACAGGTGGTGCTGGCGAACTCGCGATTGAACGGTTTTGTATTGAGTTCAGTGCCGGAAATGTAGAATCCGGCCCCCTACATCTGGGCATAAAACTCCCCCCAACGTGCACTGTTGGCAATTGAGAACAATCAGCACCCAAAGCTTTCGGCTGGCAAGCGCGAACACTTCGATCAGATTGAAACATTTTACTGTAGTGCAGTGACTTTACTATGGGCGAACGTGCTGGTCTTGGTGAAGATACATCGCCTACACACCTACCGACATGTTCATGCACGTGTCCTTGTTGATTGAAGACGTGGGGCGTGACGATAGCAAAACATGATTCTAGTCACTAGATAGGCTAGGATTTCTAGTCTCGATTAGTGGTCGGAGAAGGCGAGTGGCTGGCAACCGTCAAGCCACGAATGATAACCTCGGAACCAAAGCAAAATACGTCGAAGTGTGAAGCAACGGATGCGGCGGAACAGCAACGACATGCATCAAGCTGGTATTATATTCGATGGATGCCCGTCGGCCAGCCGGCTAGTCGCCAGCGTTTCGTGAGCGCTGGCCCCTCATCAAGACTTCTCTTTCTAGCGAAGTTGAGTTTAATGCACCATCTGGATCCAAGCACCACGGTTCCTGTATCAACGCAAAGTTTGGCTGTGAGCTTGGAGCTCACTGGATGGCGTCAATGAATTGTTGGAAATGCTACTTTACTCTGAGAACGCCGGCACCCAGACGGTGCTGCAGCAACTATCGGCGTCTCCATGGCCGCAATAACGCGCTGGCGCATGGATCAGTTGGCGCTACGATCACTTTGCAGCCATGACGGCTCCGCAGCATGCATTTATTCTGGAGCGTGGTGTCGTGGGCCTCAGAGCTTTTCACTGCGCGAACACCTTCGATGCCGGGCTGTTGTCTCACGAGCTGAAGGCGTTGACTCACATACTAAGCTTCAGTCTACCCGTAGAGCGCCATTAGTGCGCTATGAGCAAAGCATACCATCTTCTTGTCATCTCTTCAAGTGCGGACAACATCTTACGGTTGCCTTGTTGATGCTTGTGCCTGCACGATACCAAGACGGCAAAGTTTCAGGTGGACAGTCTGGGCGTCTTGCACAGCATGAGCAAGACGCGGCCAGACCACCGGAGCGGTACTGCCTCATTCACTCGCACGAAAATACTTCAAACCAAAATCGAACTCCAATCTCAATGCTGGGCAAAGTATCTACACAATCTATTGATCCCTTGCCGTCTTTACATTTTGGTCATCACGCGTGAATTCCCAAGCCCTCTTTCAAAGAGTCTTTGATCAATTTACGACGATGCGATCAGTAGCAACCATGATGGGAGGAGGACTCGACTAGTTTCTGGAAAACAGCGGCTTACACTCGCCCAGCGTCGGACCTCTACGAGCGCAGCGTGTTGAGCCCGGCGCAAAGTGCACCTCGCAATTACGAGAGCTCCAGTCGTCTGGCGAAATGGTTTGCCGGAACGATTCGAGCTGTCTCCAGTGTCCATGACGGCATTATTGGCCATGCTGACAATGCTGACATGGTCCCACGAGGATCAACTCTGCATGCATGGTATGAGACGAAGATCTTCCCGGCCATAAGTGTAGATCGGGTGAGAGTCTCCGATACTGCGAGGTCCCTTGTGAAGAGGAGCTTCAACGGCCCAGATGATTTCATAGAGGCCATCAGAAGGGTGAGCATTTGGGTGATAGCTGTGATCGAGCAACGGGGAAACACTCGACAGACGTTGAAGGGCAATCAAGTTGACGTGACTATCGGTTGTCCACTATGGTACGCCATTCGTTTACATGTTCACTTCAACGTGTTCTTCGCTGCCCGGTTGCCGTGCAAAAGCAAACCGTTCTGGTGGTCCCTCATTTCGACTGTTGCAGTGGAGATGGTGGACTGCTGTGTATACTGTTCAATCCATCCTGTCGAGCGTTTTGGGCCTTACACTCGTCACATCATGCCAATCGTCGCAGCGTACGATGCCCAAGGTGAACTTCCTTCATAAACATATCAAGTTGCCAATTAATGCTTCAGTATCAACGGGGCCATTAGTTCGTAGACCCGTACCAAAGCACCAAGCCTCAAGCATGATGCTGAAAGTGTGTACTAAATCTACCTACTCGTCGCAAGAGTAATACTGTGAGTCTCTGTATTTTGATGCGGAGTGGGGTTCTGCGTGGATGAGGTGGACGCCGGTTCAACACTAAAGGAGATTGTGCTGAGTAAAAACACTATATGATATAGAATATCGTCTGCGACTTAAACGGAAAACATTAGCACGGTTGTTCACAAATCTATTTATTGAAAAAGTATTTAAACCTTCTTATGTAAATAATTTATTTATGGAATGTGCTGTAATCATACTATTCATTTACAGAACTTTATGTTCCTGTTCACAAAATTTATTGGGTCAATGAGGACCAACAAAGACCACCCCACTCGAGAACCAACCGATTCTGTGGACTGTTGTCCGCTGTCGAGTTGGCAAGAACAAACTAAGACCCTTCTGCATTTTGCATTTCCAGTACTAGCCTACAGCGACCTCCAGCCCCCCCCCCCCCCCAACCACCACCACCATGTCCGAGACTCTGGCTGCTTCTCAGCCCACCAACTTCACCCCCAAGCAGATCGCGGCCTTCTTTTTTAAGCCCTTCCTTACGGAGGACGGGGACCCGACCGGCTTCCAAATTTGCAAGGCCTGCGGCAAGACGCGCAAGCACACCCCCAAGACGGGGTACACCAACTTGGTGTCTCACGTGAAGTCGGCGCACCCCCGATTCCAGCTGGAGATGGAGGACGCCAGCATCGCCGCCACGGGGTCGTTGCTACCGTGGGTTCGCCAGAAGGCATCCAACCGGTATGCCTGGCTTGAGTGGGTTATCAGCGGAAACCTCCCTCTTTCATTTGTTGAAATGGAATCCACGCGAAGGTTCATATTGGTTTAAAAAATCTATTTATCGCTAATTTCTAACACTTTGGGTACTTTGTGTTAGGTACACCAAGTTACCCCCGGTGTGTCGCAACACACTGTGGGACAACATGGAGAACGTCGCCAAGGCGGTGGAGAAGAAGATCGGCGACAAGATGCCTGACAAGTTCGGTCTACTGCTGGACTGGTGGTCCCATGGAGCGGAGCACTACCTAGGTGTCTTCGCGTGCTACGAGACACCCTCGGGTCCGCAGTACCCTCTGCTTTCTCTGGCTCCGATTGTCGTCGACTCTGCTGGTCGATTCGACGCCGAGACGCACATGGCTGCGCTGACTGCTTTTCTACCTTTTTTGGGAAGGAACTATCTAACTGCATCTTTTTGGTCGGAGACAATTGTGCAGTGAACAAGCGCCTCGCTCGGCTCATGGGCATCCCGCTGGTCGGCTGTGCCAGCTACCGGCTGAACCTCGCCGTTCGAACACTGCTCGAGCCGCGTGAAGCCGATCTGGAGCAAGTCCAGTCCCTCATGAAGCGCCTTCGGACATTGACTCAGGCAGCCAAGTTGCGGTAAGCATTTGTTTATTTTTTATATACTACTTTTATATGAAGTTTGAAGACGTCTCTCAGGCCGAAGCTGCGCCAGGAGACGAGGTGGGGATCGACCTACGCTATGCTTGCACGCTACTTCGATCTGCGCGAGTTTATCAGCGCTGATGACGAAGACCTCGCCGAGTTGATGCCATCTCCCCTCGCCGAGTTGATGCCATCTCCTGCCGCGAACCGGCGATTGAAAGCACTATTGTTCGAGTTGGCAGATGTCGAGTCGGTTTCGATGAAATTGCAATCCGTGGAGCTTAACCTGTTGGATGCGCGCGACCTACTTGACGGGCTGCTAGAGGTAAAGCCAAGCTTCTATCGCTATTTTGGTGGGTGTGAGTTTACTACATTTGGTGGTTTGCTCATTTTACTAATATTTTTTGCAGCCCCGAACGCTGACATCGTCGCTGCTCCCGAGTTCGAGAGCGCCGTGATCAAGGTCCTGGAGGGACAAGCGAAGCAGCTTTCGCTAGGTGAAAAGGCTGCGCTAAGATCGTTTGAACGACAGACCACCATAGCTGCGACCGCGGAGACGACCAAAATGAGGTTTGCGGACAGGATTTTGAAGCGCAGGAAGGTTCAAGATGACACGAGCGCGTACGGCCAGCTGGATGCCATCCCGTCGACGTCCAATGCAGCTGAACGGCTGTTCAGCATGGCGCGAATGGTGCTCCGGTACGAGAGGAACCGTTTGTCACCGCTGATGCTAGAGATGCTGTTGTTTTTGAAGATGAACAGCAAGTACTGGGACGTCACGACGGGTTGATGCAGTGATCTAGGTTTCATACGCTGCGAACACGACCTCACTCGGTGAACCTACTAGTTATTTATTTGTTGATCTTGGTACTTCACTTTATTTATTTGCCAGTCCTTGGAGTTCCTCGCCGCTACTTATTGTCTGTGGAGATGGAAATAGGTAACAATGATATTTTGAGCAACCCTGCTAACCAGCCCATCTTTTCAGTCGAAGCGCGGTCGACGCGCCCAAGTATCTCACGGACCCGGCAACGGGTTATTTCCTGTAGGCCACCCCGCACCGCAAGCTCGCGTTCACTAGCAAGCCCAACGCGTTATGCCCCTTCCACGTTGAGTGGGGCAAACCCCACCACTGGGGCTTCCGGGCCGTGGCCACACAGAGATACATGGGCCAGAACACTGTAGAAGATGGTGGCGACCGACAAGAGACTTCACGCGTATGAAGCCTTCCGGATACCCGGCGGCAAAGGGGCCGGTGTCTGCAGTGATGCAAAACCCCAGAAAGCCGTGATAAACCGGAAAATCACAGTACTCATCGAATTCTTTTCTCCATTTCTCGCCAATATTTCCAACCAAGTCATAATTTGAAAGATAGAGAATCTTGATCTGGAATCTTCCATCATGTTTGTTCTAAGCTGAGTGTAGTCGTCTTTTTTGGGAACCGCGGTAGCCACTCCACTCTCCAAAAGAAAAACCTCTGCTGCCACCGCTCCGAACTAGCCGAACTCAAATTACCTTATACGAACCAATACAAACAGGAGCATGGTGGATTGAGCACGATATGCACCTGCCATACTACATGCCAGTCGAAGAGATAAGCGACGTGAAATGGCATATCCAAGGATATGTATGGACGCTAACCCATCGAATTAGTGTAACTTTGCATTAAAATAGTCGTTTTACTGCCTAGTACATTCCATAATATAGCGTTGTAGTATAAGAGAGCGGAATTGCATCGGATCAGTTAAAGTGTCTAAAAGGACAGCTACAACAACAACAACGCGGGCCAGGTGCATCCAACGCATCAGATTAGATAGAACCCAGAAAAAAATGTCTAAGTCAATTCGACCATGTATGGGTTTCCCTCCGCAGCTCGATACCTCGTAAAAATCCATGCGAACGTGCCAGAATCCGGTCCGAAAGACAATGGTCACTTCAACGTTGATGTGTCCACACGACAATAATCACTTTTCTATTGGACAAAATTAGACGTTTCAGTTCGTTGGCTAGATGCCATTAATTCTGATGTTGGTTTGGACGGCGCCAAAACTCGCGCCAAAAAAAATATTTTCTTGAACTGACCAAGAACGCACCAATACCCAACATGCCCCGCTTACCCAACGCCAAGGATCTTCTTCGGCTGGAGATCGAATTGTTCCTCTCTGATAGGGCCACCTGTGGGAAGCGGGGGCTATATTGGACGTAGCAGCACGCTTCGGTTGTCACCACAACACCGTGAACAAGTTGTGGTGTGGCCGTTCCTATATTGCCGTCCAGCGGCGAGCAACCATGGTCGTCCCTGCGCCTTAACCGACGGCGATTTCAAGGCCATGATTGAGGCGGCACCATTGGAGAGTCACATCACGCTGCGTGTTCTCGCAGCCCCAACGAGGTTCGCACGCACCCAACTCTCTCGGCACTTAAAAGAGCGCAGCATCCTCAAGCGTGGAACCGTTCGTACCGAAACCGCTGCTGACGCCTGAGCAGATGGCAGAGTGCTGCGAGTTTGCTCGGTCATTTGTGTTAAAATTTTCTGGTAAAGATTTTGACTGCCAAGATAACGTCAGAGCACCTACCACTAGGTAGGTGCTCTGACGTTATCGTGTATTGTTATGTCAATTAGAAGAACCCAGATACGAATTCGATGACATGCAGAATGTTGTGCACGTCGACGAAAAATGGTTTTACGTACACCAAAACCGTTTCACGTATTACCTTACCAGCGATGACGCTGCTCCACCAAGAACAAAAACCACCGCACAAAAGGTTTTATGTTTTTGGTAGCGGTGGCGCGTCCTCGGTATGATTGCCACAAGCGCATGATTTTTGACAGCAAGGTGGAAGTTTGGCCTGTAGTGGGACTAAGTTGGCCATTCGCAACAGCAAAACCCGACCGAAGTGCACTCCAGTAATGACCCTGCTTGAGATGACGTGAGATGTTTATGAGCGCATGCTAATACAAGATGTCATTCCCGCCATCCAGCGAGTTTGGCCAGGTAAGTATCTTTGCATTACTGGTGGTTGTTAATTTATTATCATTGTTATAATATTAACATACTTGCGCTGTTTTATCTGTTTATATTTGTGCAAAAGCCGAGGTGCATGTGATCATACTGCAGGAAATAACACTCCCCATCGTGCCACGGATCGAACTGTAGTGAAAGCAGTAGCAAAAAAGCGACGGTTGGTCGATTAAGATCATCAACCAGCCGCCGCGAAGCCCGGACTTCAACGGTTTTGATTGTGTACTCGGCCGGGGGATAAGTTCCTCAGCCGCAGCAACCATCTTCATGGCGTCTCGAATCTCCACGTAGCGAGTCAGCATACTGTAGGCTGAAGACCGGTTTTCAAAGGTTTGTACTGTGTATGGTGAGCAAGCTCCGCTGCGTTGCTGAGGTAACACAGCTGGACACAGCTCTTGAACCTGGCTATGAGAGGTTGGTACAATTATAGAAAGCGACTAACCACCAGGTTGAAACGGTGGCTCCCGCAACCTACGTACGGAACACCACGCCGAGACGCAATTGCTTGGCTCGTCGCATAGTTGTCCACAACGATGAACAAGATCATCGTTGTATCTTTCTCCTAGATACCGAGGATGGCATCAATCAGTTTGATGTGAGCGTCGGTCCCTTTGATGTACTCTCCAGGAGGAATTTCGACAGCACTTGTTGAAGCTCTCCGTTCTCACCAAAGAGGATGCAGACGGTGATGAAGTGTAGCGTTCCCGTGATCTAGCCATCAAACATTTTTCAAAATTTGTCGCCCATATCCTCCGCGATCCGCTCTCCGACGTTTGCAGCCTCGTGGCGCATTTACCGCTGTAAGGTCTTTGAGACGATGGGCTTACCGCAGCCAATGAACACGTAACCGGGTCGTCCACCTCGCTAAGCGCCTTGTTCCAAGCGACGACCCACTCCATCCACGTGAAGATCATCATCGTACGCTGGTTCACAAACCCGTGGGCTTCAAGTGATTGGCCGTGGGTATGCTAGCTCACGTCGTAGGTCTCACTATAGTCCAGGTGGCTCGTTGCGAGGTTGCTAATCAGGTTCATGTAGCCTGATCCAGGGGCTGTTTCACAGGGTTTGCAGGAAAACTTGCCGCCACCGCAGTCCGTGAAGAAGAACCTTGAAATGGCGCGGGAACGGGACATAATGATTGATTTGTCAAAGTAGGAATGATAGTCTTAGTCGACTGGGCTTGATTGTTTTCTTGTGAACCGGTCGTACCAGGTGGGATTCACCAACAAACAGCTTTGGCTTTTGCCTTGCCGTAAAAAGTCAGTTTTGGCTCCAACCTTTTTGTAAAATCGAAGTGTCATAACGCAAAATAGGATTTTAACACAGCAAAAGATGCGTTTGAAATTCTCTGATGCGATGGCCTCATAAGCAGAGCTAACCTATGTCATGCTGTAGCTACAACTAATCAAAAGCGACTACTTCCCGGAAAAACCTGGCAGAAGCAGCTTATCTTGTAGCGTTTCGTCCAGTTGAGGTTGTGTGTACAACTATTGGGTTAAGCAAAATGTAACGTCGATGAAGTTATCTTTTTCTCACTATAACCGTATGGTATTAGTAGAGTTGTCATTTAGGCCCTTTAGACTCGTTTATGGTCGAAACAGGCCGGGCCGGAATGGCCTGAACCCCTGGTAGAAGGCCTTTTCTGACTCTCTCGGCCAGAGCAAAACAAATATGTTATTTTATCACAAACAGCGGTATTTAACGACAAACAGCAATATTTAAACAAACTCCTTTTAATTAAAACGTAGCATGTGCTTAGGCCAAACTCTTCTCCTACCCCCTAAATCAGTAGAATGATACTGCCATCGTACCAACACTGGTATAAGGCTATACGACGATGTAACCTCGTCAAATTGCCTGATTCCTTCGTTGGATCGGACGCGATAAAAAAAAAATCCGCACATCGGAAAGTTAAAGCCAAATAGGATGAGGGAATTATACAAATAGACACAAAATGCAAACATTCGGACACGAGTCGTCAAAACACACTGTCGCAGTTTTGGTTACCTAAAACTATCAGACGACGACTCCCAAATAAATGGCTCATTCCCGAATTAGCGTAACTGAAGAGAAGCCCGATGTCTTCCCCTCCTCGGCCCTCCGTTCGACGGTTTGCATGCACCTCGGGCGCTGCTGAGGTGGAGGAGTGGCTCGCGCTATTGGACGGTTTAGATGATAGGGAGCTAGGATATGAGGTGGCCGGCCACATTTTACCCGCACCTAAGGCGCTCATTTGGCCTTGCGAAGGCGACTGGATGCTTGACGTGCACAATCCATTCCTGTATGAACAGCCGACAACTCTAGAGCAGGTTCTGCTACCTCAAGCGCTATACGCAACGGACCCGGTAGCCGATGAGGCCTCACTAAGCGGTGCAGCAGCTACATATGCGGTGGACGTCGATATCCCAGTGCCAGCTACGCGTACAGCACTATTGGAGCCAGAGGATCTTACCGAACCTACCAACGAATATGAAAACCAACCTATTGAGTCGACTACAGTACCGTTTGTTATCGAGATTGATTCATCCAGCTTATGGAATGATTACGACGACGCTGTACCGCGCCCGCCACCGTCTACGGTCGTACCGCACTTGTGACCAACTAAGAAATGCAATTGCGGTGGATTCTGAAGAGGAGACGGAAGAATATGAACCGATGCCATCACCAATAGAGGGTTGGCCGCCGCTATCGGTACCGTCTCCCCAGCTACCGCTACCGACTTCACCCCAATGCCACCCAATCACCAAGGCGCCCAATATCGTGGCGGCCGGCGTTAGATATGGCACCAATAGTCGCTGGGAAGTGTTGCGATACTGGACCGGGCCAATTACGAAAAATCGAACGAGTCTTATTTGGTTCAATGGTGCGATAATAATCGTCGCTTCTGCGCACATCAAGGAGTTTGAAGAGGTGATGGAAGCCAAGGGTCCAAAGGAAGGAGTGTCTACTGGAGATATCAAGTTGTTCTTGGATTTCTTACGCAACCGTCGAGCACCCTTTGAATGTGTTCGCGGAAAACAAGGTCACGTTTTCGGTCAACAACCTGGAGGGCCTCAGCAAATATCCACTTCAGCCTGGTGTTTATGTGGGTGAGGCGTCTGATGCACGAAGACTCAAGCACTGCTTCGTACTTCGAGTACACGGAGGTCATCTGGAGCGCCAAGTATTCGACCGCTGGTACGAAGGAGGGGAGGACCATGAATTTTACAGCGAGCCTCTAGCAAATTTAAAGTGGATTCGCCGGTGCAACTTTATCCGGCGCGTTGAGTGTTGGAAAGGTATCGCGAAAAAGAAACAGCACCAAACATAAGAAAGTAGCGTAGTGGATGAGATAGTGTATCCTTTCTGAATACAGTTTCATTTCATTATGTTAAGTACGACCCGATACTCGAGAGGATTTACGGTGCTCTAGCCAAATCACGGTACTCTGAGGGTGTACCAAAACTACAAAGGCAGTACCGTGAGTTACAATGAGTTCTGTGACTGACAAAATAGTACAGTACGCAACGTTGTCCAGTCATTTTGTATAGGCGTAACTGTAGAAGATGAAACAAGGAGCTTATCACAGTGAATTTGACTATATCATGGTCTCTCGCTTTTGTGTCTATTGCTGGAGACGTGGAGACGAGAAAGTAAAAAAAGTATGTGTGGTCCCGTCAGGAACTAGATGCTGAGGAACGTGGTGTACAAGATGAACGCTTCCTCAGGAGTCCAGCGGGTAAGCAATTGTGCGCAAGGTTCTAGAACTACAACGACGCCGGTCTTGATGAAGAAGAGGAAGAAGGTCCTCGTGATGAGGTCGAGCTACTTGAAATGCGCGACCAGGCTACTGAAGAGAAAATATGTGCGGCCCCCGACTCCGCACTACTGAAACGTGCTAGAATCGGATACCTTCGGCGCTTGGAGGTGAAAAGGGATGAACGCAATGCGCAGAGGCGACTTAACCAACATAATGTCCGACCAGCTAACATCAATGCTGTTCTTCTCGAGCGATTCGAATATGGAAATCAAGAGCATGAGGCGTCAAAACTTTCAGATGCGGGCAACCAAAGCAAATAAATTGTCACAGTAGACGATGCTGGCACGACATGCCAAAGCGGTGCTACTCTTTCTCCTTCCCGGTCATTCGCATAACGCTGCCGATCGTGTAGTAGCGTGGTGCAGAAACAAAATGAAGGGTACAAATATGTACATTCCGAAGTAAATAAAACTAATTCTGTACGGGCTCAGTTTCTAGATCATCGCAGAAGTGTTTTTTCTGTGGATGGGAAGGCTTGTTGTCGAAGTACTTTGGTAAGATGCCAACAAGCTATCACGTAACTATTTTTTTCGAGATTGACTTTGGAGTTGTTACAATGCGGTACTTAGTGTCTTCGCACTCTGAAGTGTTTTCGCTGATCGGCACCAGCAATCATAATGCTGTATGCTCCGCGTTTCTTACAGATCTTTTTGGAAATGGATACAATCTTGACACTGTTACTATCGATAGCGTTCGTTTACCGAGGCAACCGCTTCTTCCACTGACGATGAAAAAACTCAAATTGTTGTCGTTAAAATATTTCTCGATTCCTGCCGAGTATTTAGCTTACTATCCGAATGAATCAGCATTCCGCGAGAATATGGACGAGCCTAGTGACGCTAACAAAGGTGCAATAACTACGAAGAGAAAAGTAACTGTAGGCGTGCAATCAAAGCGACCGGTTGGACGACCTCGGAAGCAACAAGTTCATAAAACAAATTCACATCTATCCTGCGCTTTCTGACACCCCGCCCACAAATACCAAGCAGCCTGCATATTGATGATTCGAATTCGGGCACTTCTAGCAGCACAGTGATCACTAATGACCACGCAGTCGACGCCAATAACAATTCAGTCTCGGCAATGACGGATAACAAGCAAAAACCATTGATGATATCAACAAAATTTCCCTACTTGTACGACAGTACGGGGCTGACAGCGGCATTCCGACCTTTTCGCTTACAACTTCTGTTAACAAACCGTTTCTTGACTTGTTTTTCACCAGGAATGGGCTTCCCCGAAGCATATAATGCAGCAAGTACGTGAACACACAGTCGGTACTTGTACCACGACCGGCACGGACAAGACTTTTCTTCCATGTCGACTCTCCAACCTCCAACCGGTTGCTCCGCTGTCTCCATGCGATGTTTATTGCGTTTGCCTAACTTTTTCCTCTCCAAACCGGTGTCTGGTGTGGGGAGTCGAGGCTGAGCCCCAAGCTGATACGCATAGGCTATGTGTGTTTCGATTGGGCCATCAAGAAGGAAATCCAACCCGTGTTTGTGCGACTGTATGACGCTAAGTCGGCCATTTTTTTGCAGATATTTGTAGCGATCTTGCATCTCTCGGTTGGGCTTCGACTCCACAGTGAATACAAACGTGCCTCTTGATCGGTGACGGTACATTAGGAACAGTTGCTCCGCTAGTGCTACAAGCTTGATTAGTGTTCTTGTGAGTAGTCCTTCTTGATCGCGTTGCTGAACTGCTCTACGGGGTTGCTTGTTGTTGCAAATCCTGTTGGTGTGTGGTAACAACCCCAGTAGCTGAAAGGAGAATCAATCCATTGCATCTTGAAGTGTACCGCAAAGCTGTTAAGTACTGGATACGCCTTTCATTCTGCATGCGCAACCTCTTTGTGGGTATTGAACTCTGCCGAATCTCGCGAGTAATGCATCATGTACAGATTTTTAAACACCAACGACACTACTTCCATTGGATAACTGGATACGCGGTCAGCCACGTTCTTGACGGCGTGGAAAAACACATCAAATACGTCAAAGCTCCGTTGCTACTGCGGCTTCGTTTGGACGACGTAGTATCCATTACCGCATTATACTGCGCCTTATCTGTGTCTGCCACGCAGTAGCGAATATCCGGATAGTTGCCAGTGATCACCTTGAAAACGTCAAACACACTCTGGAGCGCCATGCTTATTAGACCCCCAGTCTGTTGGGATGTCACAAACATTGCTACCAGGTGGAACGACCGGGACTGGTCCGAGATACCAAGGACGAGAACTGGGTACCCAGACTGATCGAGTTTGTAGGTCGTGTCAATCTGAAGCACATACTTTGCGGCGTAGCCCAGCATTTTTATCATATACGGTGTTGAAAGTCCAACAATAGTTGGGTCGTCATCCACGCCTTCTCCGATTGCAGGTGTTCCGTCTTCATTTACATTGTACCCAAAGGTGAATGCATTATCATCCAGCATGTCTGGTGTAAATTGTGTTCTCTTCACGAGCTTTACCATGTCTTCTACCAAATCGGTCTCGTTTAAAGTGGATTGTCGAAAGTGCCCAACGTATGCTTGAACTTGGCGCAGTAAAGGAGACTCCCACTCTATGTAGCCGAAATGATCGACCACGTTATTGTAAATACGGTTTGTCCTCATTCTCATAGCAATTAGTGGTGCAGCGTACGAGTTCATTTCTCTTGTCAGCTTTGGTTAACGAGGAGAGGCAATATCAGCGAGGTGTCGGCCGTGCTGGTCGATATCACTACCTCGCACGTCTGAATCATCTATCGTCATTCGCAGCCGTCACCCAGGACCACCTTGCAGGTCGCGGACGCGCATTCAAGCATTTGATATCTCATTGCGTGGTCGTCGTAGTTGATGGGGCATAATTGACAGCGAGCAGCATGGCTTGTCGGCGTTCTGAAGGAGCGGGATCGATCCAGCCAGCGGTTGACTTCTAGTGTCTCAAGCTTCTTGCCTAGACTTGTCCAGACATATTTGGGGGCCATTGTCGAGGCGCCTGGGTGTAGCTGATTGATTTGTGTGTGTGTCTGTGGACCACTCACCTCGTGCATAAGCTTATCTACTGCATATGTCCTTAAAATTATGCCCCAATCAAGGAATAATGCAAACGCTGTAATTCTTGATAATTCGTAGTTGTGCTTTGCGATAAGGTGATTTTGGTCTGGCTGCCTTTTTGATTGACTATCCCAATGATACTTTGTCCGATTGGATTGCAGTTTGTGCGGTAGAGTGAATGTTTATGTGGTGCCCGTCAATTTATGTCCATTTAGATACTGCTCTCAAATCGGATCAAGTGATGTCAAATGCTCACTTTGAGCAGCTACCGACGCGAGACCCGCAATCAGTTTGAATGGAAAAGAACACTCTGTGCGAGGGTATAGTGACACACATTAATAAAATGCTGTTTTGGAGTCGCCCGAATCACACACACCCCTTTTTTCCTTCTTTTTTGTATGATACTAGTACTTCTGATACCCCAACAGCTAATATTAAACTTGAAATAGGTTTATACAATATTTAAAATCAAAGTTACAGACGAGGACACTTTAATATGACACTTTAGGTTTTTCGTTAACTATGCTTTCAAATCCTAATATTTTTATCCAATCAACTGTAAAGATGTATTACAGTCCAGCTTTCTCCCAAGCCCGCTTGATGCAGCGCTCGTTGATGGCCGCCCACGCTGTCACTACCCTGTCTACAAGCAGCTTTCTCTTCTCATCTGCAGACATGCGCTTGAGCGCCAGCAGCCTCTCCCGCAGAGGCAGAAACCCATTCCTCTGGATGGAGGCTAAGTTGTAGGATAGCGTCAGCGAGCGTAGCTTCTTCTTGAACGGGCCCATGATGCCCACGTCCAGAGGTTGTAGTACAGCAGTAGTGTTTTCTGGTAGAGGCACAAGCTCTGTCCCCCACGACGCGAATGCTTCCTGCGCAATATCGGACACATGGCACTTCAGATTGTCGACGTAGATGGCTAGAGGGTCTGGGAATTCGTCACAAACAAATTCTGCCCACTGACCGTTGATAAACGTTTCGTTCCAAACCCTTGTATCCATCCAGCCATTTTGTTGGACGGTTACAAGTACTTGGTTCGAGTATGCCCTCATATCACGCTCAATTGTGCCGCCTGGCTGGCCGCGGAAAATGACTAGCGGCTTTAGCTTTTTTCCTGCCGCGGAAACGGTGAGCAGCACACTCGCTCGATCCGAACGGCGGCGTCGTTTGACTCGAGCGGACTTGCTTTGGCCGCGCTCGGCAAGGATGATGCCGGGGTCTTCCTCGTATTAGACCGCGGTTTCGTCAGCATTGAAGACGCACTCTCGCTGATACGCCTTCTTGATTTCGGCGCCAACCTCTGCCGAAAAGCGCTGCTGCTCTGTGAGCAGCTCTTGGGTCGATATGATAGTTTTGGTGGCCCGACGAAACGAAAAGCCGCGACTCAGTGCTACGCGACGGATTGCACGTCGTAGACTGTCCTCTTGACGCGTCAGCAAATAGTCCGAAGCCCATGAGCTGTATTCTTCCTTGACAAAAGCAACACAGTGGTTAGTTCTTAGTGCAAAATCATCACGACGCATGGCTTTAATCCACTGTATGAGCTCATCTGCGTATGGGAAAACGCAGTGACGGCCTTGGCCCCCTAACGTGGTCTTGGAGCTCTTTTTGTTTGCACACGCTTGTCTAAGTCTATCCTCGTTCTTTATCCACTCGTACACAGCTGTGCGAGTGTGCACGTCATTGGAAGCAGCTACAGCAGCGACTTTGCCGCCTGCTCTAACTTCCTCAACGACTCGAAGCCTTAGTTCGTTTGAATACGTACTACGACGACCTTTTGATGGTAGATTCAGCTGATAGATCACCTCACCGCCACCGCTACTGTCGCTTTCAGCAGCGTCATCCTCGTCGTCGGCAGCTCCGGCACCATCGCGGATGCCCCACTGGAGCATTCGCAGCTCGAGCTCTTCCATGGCACGATTCGAAGTGAGCTCATGGCCACAAAATTGTTTTTGACATTCTATTGGCTGAAATTATTGACAAAAAACCCCGTGTCATTCATTAGTGTCCGTCATATTAAAGTGTCCTCGTCTGTACAAGCTAAATAAATTGGTTTTTTTTAAAACTCACATTTAATTTTTTTGAAATGACTGTAACAATACCCTTTTTAAATAATATTAATTTTGTCTGCACTGTTCAGCTTTCGTCAGCCATGCGTTTTAAGTGGTGGTCTTAGAAATCGCAACATAAGCTGCGTCTTCACTGTCACCCGCGTATTCTGCTCTACTACCCGTTCTTCACCACTTCGTAACTCAAAAACATAAGCCGCTTTCAGTTTACGGGAGCGATCGAGTTGACGAGCATATCGACTGCGAATGCTGCACACCATTCGTACCACATTGTAACGTGGTTAGACTTCGATGGATTGTACTGCATGTACTGCATCGCTTCACATTTAAAAGTCCGTTTATTAGTCAGTTAGGACAACCATCCTTCTATCGCAGTACCTTGAACCAACGATCAAGGTCCTCGATTCCCGCACAGATGCAGTTATTTTAAAATGTCGCGACACCGTAATACAGTAGCGATACGTACATGGGTAGCGTAGCGTGCTTTTCACCATCGCGGGGACTTGTGTAAGATAGGAAGCCGTGTTGCGTTAAGATTAAGCAGCATGAAGTGTGCGTGTAGCTCCGTATTGACACCTTTCGAAAATTCGTCATGTGACGTAGAAGGCTTACATTTTTCATCAGTTCATTGGAGATCGTCTAGCTATCATTATTTTCGAGTCGAGGCTTTTCTGTGTGTGAGACTTGGTAACATTTTGACTACGTTTTGCCCTTTTGGTACATCCCACGCTGAAGGGCCATGTCGAAGTTGGACTCGTACACCACAAAACAAACTTCATTCAGTTGTGTACGTTAGCTTCACCGCAACATGCTAGTAACATCGCTATGATTTTCGATTTAGCAACGAGTTTCTCAACTAACGAACATCCATCTCTGCCCACTCGCAACGCTAATCATCGCAGCGTACAATACCCAAGTCGTGTTTCGTTCACACACACTTTCAAATTGTCAATTAATGCTACCAACGTAATAAGACATGGCCTCTGCGCGTGGTTGTACAAGAGCACCTCGAGGCCCCAACACGCTTACAGCACCGAGTTCTTATCGTCGATAGTGAAGATCTCGCCCGGCAGTTTGTCGTCCTCCTTCCGTCGCTTAAGGTACGCGACGGCCAACACACCGATGCAGCCACAGGCGCAAAGAGCCACGTAGAGTCCCGTGTAATCCGTCGAGGACTCCTCATCATCCTCTTGCTCTAGGTCACTAGTCGTGAATTTAACCTGGTGTACGTCAAAGCCCTTCTGGACGGGCGAGGGCGTGGAAGAACCAGACTTCGAGTCCGAGTCGCTGTCGACCTGATACTGATGGCCGTTCTGCTCCTCCTGCTCCTGCTCCTGCTGGTGCGCGTTACCGGCGTTAGCTGTGGCCACGCAGAGCGCGGCGGCGATGAAAAGTGTCTTGAGGAGCTGCATATTTGCCTGTCGAAAGTTCCTGTAGAGCTGTACTAGTGGAGTTGTTTGAGGGGGTATAACACAGAGAAACGGTGGTTCCCAGCACGCGTCCAATTGGAGAATGGGCGATACAAACACTGGAAACACTGGGATTGGGGAGATTCGGCACGGATCAAAGCATAGGATTGATCATGGGCTGGTGAACTGGAGGCAAGAGCCTAGCCATCTGCATCCCATGCTGGTGAGGAACCGTAAGCAATGATGATCTTGAGTTGCTCTTTTTAGAATTACGTTGCTCTAAAGACGCTATGTTGCGTTAAGTTTGTTTTAGGAAGCAGCTAAATTATCAGATCTGAAATTGTTTCCTAAAAATTGTCAAATTCACCGGCTGTACATTTCGAATGCTACGCTGCGGAGGCTTTGTGCGATCTGGCTTTTGTGTTTGTATTGTAGCTGCTTCACCAACAAGGTCCGCCCCAGACAATTGGAGATCTTGCAAGTTGGCAAGTACACAGTGCGGCAGTGCGAAAAGCTTTCATTTTCGGTTTAATAAGACTCGTTTTCTTTTTCTAATAAGTGTATCACGCTCATGGGTTTAGATGGAATGGCGTGCATTCATGTACAAACTCGGCACACTTCGTCCAGACACGCTGTGTAACTTACATGTAAGCCAAGCCATTAAGAGCGTAGAAGTCTCAAACAGTCAAAGCTGCAATTAGACGGCAGCGCTGGTTACTGTAGGTAGTGTACTCTTGGATTCCCGCAATCAAAATCAGTTCCTTGCTTATTATAATGTCGTTGCTTCTCGGCGACCGACTCCCACTTAAGCACTAGCTTCGGAGATTAAAGCGCAAAATACAGCACTGACCTTGGCCGTCCCTTTTTGGCCAGGCTACTCTTTCGTCAGTTTGAATCACTTCAACTTCAACTAATCGACCATCACTCTTCGATCAATTTCCATGGACTTGTATAGACTTGGAAATACATGTATTGGCTAACATGTAAGATGTCAAAGTATGGATTCTATGTAGCATGGGGAGTGGATAAAGCTGTTCTGGGCGGTGTTCATCTTGCTTGAAACGGCTCGCTCGCCGTTGAATTTGTTGCTTGCATCCTAAAATTCCCGAACTGAGAACACGCTTCCATCATCTTCAACCTGTAGGTAGAGTGGTCCAAAACGCACGCAGCAGCAAGACTGAGCAATCTAACTCGTTTATTAAAAAGATCATGCCACGTCAACCTGCTCAACAAGTGACGTATGACCAGATGATGGCGGAGTTGCAGCTCGATTCCGACGAAGACGAGCGTGAAGAAAAATATCAAGAGCCACGCCAAGATCGGAGGAAACGCGACGCTCTTGAAAGACACCAGCGAGCGACGCCACCATCTCCAAGACCCGAAGAAAAGCCCAGTCGTGCGCGCAAGAAGGACGAGCAGCACATTGAATCGACGGGTAGTGAGGTAGAAGCCAAGGACAGGGATTCCAGACGACGACGGCTTTCTTTCCCAAGCTCAAACACGAAACCATCGTCGAGAAGCGATAGCAGCAGCTTCGGTCGCAGTCATAACTCCGGAGGCACCATCCCAAACGACTCAGACGATTCCGATCAAGAACATGAAGGTAAACAATGTCCAATAATCGCAGCGAGTTACTGTTGATTATTTTTGTGAATTCTTATTGTAGCACCTGTGGTCAATGCCAATAGCGAAGTCTTTGGAGCAGCAAGCATCTGTATCATTGATAAGGGCTTATCTGGTCCAGCGGAGATTAAAGCGTTGCGTTCATTCGTGATGCGAGCACCTGCACAAGGCACCGCTGCAATTCGAGTATGAAAAAGTTATCGACTGTAATATTGGTAACTGAGAACTAACATTGATAGTGATGATCTCTCTGGTTCGCAGTGCTACGTTGAACGCGATCGTCAAGGTCTCAACCGCTTACATCCTGTTTTTCGTCTCTATCTCGAGTCCGGGAAGCAGTTTTTGTTGTCTGCGCAAAAGCGAGTGAGTAGCAAGACGTCGAACTATCTGCTCACAATGGAACAGAATCCCACCACTCGACGCAGCAATCTCATCGTAGGAAAGCTGCGAGCCAACTGGGTACGCAACAATTGTTGTTTTATATTTATCTAATCAATTTTAACCCCTTGAGACCTCGTCTTGTACGTTTAGTCCGGTTCCGAGTACACAGTGTACGATGGCGGCATGAGTCCAAGTAAAACTGCTCTGGAAGCGAATGTTCGCAACATTTTAGGTGCTGTCGAGTTCTCCTACGACGACATGGGACCAGGAAGACTGGCTGTGCAGATTCCACACGTGCAGTCGAATGGCACTGCATCAATATGGAAAGATAAACCAACTGAAGCAAGTAATTCGGACGCGGAGAGGCTGATGATGTTACACAATAAACGACCTCATTTCGACGAGAAAACGGGTGGCCACGTGCTGGACTTTGGGGGACGAGTCACTATGCCTTCCATCAAGAACTTCCAGATGATGTGTGACGTAAGTTACTCATGCACTCCAAGAGTTCACAAGTGATACTCACTCTTTCTTTATCCAGACTCTCGGAGACGCCACAGTATTGCAATTCGGCCGAGTTTCCTGTCAACCTCCAGGACCTCGAAGACAGTGCAATTGCCACAAGAGCACGTTCACTATGGATGTCAAGGTAAGACTCTGCTTCACCCGGTTACTCGCCTGTTATCTCACCCACCGTCTCTGTAGTATCCGCTGAGCCCACTGCAAGGGTTCGCCATCTGCCTCGCCAGTCTCGACACCAAGTTCACGGATCTCAAGCTGTACGATAATGTGTCCAAGCTCATCAAGAGGAAATAAAGTCCGCCTTGTGTCATCTTCAGCTGTGTATACAACGCTACAATTGTGTCCAGATCTCCCTATCTACCTGCGTGAGTTGCGTCTGCGCTCGCCATAGCTATTGTTGTTTCTGTATGGTCTTGTGGGCAAAGCTTCGTTCAACCGTGCGTACCCTTTGTTAAAGTTTCTAGCCCTCGATGAGCCACCTCGGTTGCGATGTTTCTTCCCTCCCTTTGAAGATCTGTCGTACGAGTAATAGTCTTCATCTTCGTCGTAGTCGTAGCCATTGTAGTCCGGGTATTCGTCCTCCACATCGCGACCACGTTTGCGTCCCGTAACTCGTCGTCCCGAGTCGTAACAATCGGCAGCAAAGTGACCAGGTTTCCCGCATTTAAAGCAGTTGCCTCCACCACGTCCATAGCCATTTGAACGCACGGGACACTCGGCTGCAATGTGGCCTGCCTCGTTACATACAAAACACGTCTGAACGGTGCGACCACTGGCCGTTCGCTTGGCAAAGTTGGTCGCAGCAGGCTCCATGTACGTTCGGCATCGGTCAAGTGTGTGGTTCTCAGCGCAGTTGGGGCAATACACGCGTCTATCGGCAGGTGGAGGGATTGGTACACAGTGCAGATGACCCACTTGGGTGCACACCATGCACGTCACCTCTGCTTGGTCTCCAACGTTGTCGCAGTCCTCGTCAATGTGTCCAGGGCGGCCACAAATGCTGCACGGATCGATGTTCACCGTCCGGTTGTTGCAGTCCTATGTCACACCATGTAGAGTGTCAGTATTGCAGTCACTAACCAGCTAATTCCACAAGAAAACTCACCCTCTCCTGATGTCCCAATTGTAGACAGTTTGCACACGGCAGATTGGGACATTCCCACGCCTGATGTCCTCGCAGTGCGCAGTAGTGGCAAGGATTCTGCAGCTTGTCGTTCATGCAGACGTTGGCCACGTGCCCCACTTCTCCACAGTGGAAGCACTTGGTAGCCAGATCTGTGATGAAGTATCTGTTCTCTTTACGTTTGCGCCCGTCCTCTTTTTTCTTCTTCTTCTTTTCCTTAGGTTTGGTCTCGTCCTGACTTTCATCTTCCTTCTCTTTATCGTTCGAGTTGGTGTCAAATAGAGGCACACCGACCTGCATTTTGTTGCTCTCGGCCTGTTCTTCTTCATCCTCTAACTTAATCTCCTTCTCCACCTCCACGTCGCCTGTGTTGCCGCGGTGTCGAGAGCTGAAGTCGCTGAGAATGAAGTCGTTCAAAGGCTCTAGCGGCGGCTCCTCGAACATCGGGATCTTGCGCTGGCTGGCAGGCACCAGGAAGCGAGCCTGAGCCCACTTGGATAGCGTCACGCCGATCTTCGGCTTCGGAGTCTCCTTGGCATCATCATCGTCGATTACGATGGGTGTCTGAGTCTTCTGATTCTCCGAGTCTGAATCGACGCTGATTGGTTCACCCACGTCGTCATCTGAGTCCCAGCGCGACGTCGCCTGATTCTGCGGTGTCTTGGTTTCCTTCACGCGCGTCGGTTGCACAACGGATGGCGCCGGACGGTGTGCGCGCGGATCTGATGGGTCCATCACATGCAGTATCTCCTCGTCACTATCTGATGACTCGCTCACGTCGCTGAAGGCGTCCAGCACGCCTGCGTTCTCGCCCCGCATCTTGCCTTATTGCGCTACGTCTCGACTGCCAATGGTTGACACAAAAGCGGCCCAAACGGTGTCAATCAATTTCATTGGTTAAAATGATCAAAGTCACAAAGGATGATTGGCAAAATATCACATCTCTATAATACACCTTGACCAAGTTCCTCTAGAAGAGCAGCGAGAGGCAACCATCACTCCTGGCCCAATTCCGCATCCATCTGCAGTCATGGCGTCGATCGATGAGCCGCTGGACCTGATCAAGCTGAGCGTGGCCGAGCGCATCTACGTCAAGTGCCGTGGGGACCGCGAGTTGCGCGGCGTGCTACAGGCGTACGACCAGCATTTGAACATGGTGCTGAGCGACGTGGAGGAGACCATCACGGTACAGGAGCTGGACCCGGAGACGTACGAGGAGCTTATCAAGCAGTCCAAGCGCACCATCGAGATGCTTTTCGTCAGAGGAGACGTCGTGATCCTCGTGGCGCCTCCGCTGCGCACCACCTAAGCGCTATACAGTCATCAGACCTCTTAAAGCTGCTACAGTATCCACCTGTTCTATTCCTTCTGATCTCGCTTTCTTCATATCGAGAGTGTAAGCCCATTATCCTCCCTCTTTTGACAACGTGTATTGATACAGGTTAAGCTACTCAACATGGAGACTCCATTGAGTTTGTAGGCGTCGCTCGAAGTCTTGGATGGAGATCTCGACGTCGTCGGTGTCGTCTGTGTAGGGAACTCTGGTACGATGTCGCTGGGAGTGGCAGGTGCTGGTCGACCTGGAACTGCAACTACTGCTGGGACGCTTGCTCGAAGCTGACTCTGTGCGTGTGGAGGAGCTAATGCTCTTGATAGGTATTTGTTTACCTGGACTACTAGACAGCCACGCTTGCTGCCTTCTTGGTGGAGACTTGTCGCGCTTGTCGAAGACCCACTTGTTCTCAGCTCGAAGCGCGGCTTCTCGAGCTTTGGCTTTTAGTAAGTTATTTCTTCGATCAGCATCGACTTGTTCGCGAAGTTTCCTCCGTACGTTGATGTCGTAGACATAGTCAACAGGCTTTGTCTGTAACTTTGCTGGCTTGCTAGATGTCTTGTGCCCTCGCTTCTTGGATTGAAGTGGTGGCTGCTGATCACATACAAACTGATCATCGACAGGGTATGTTTTCGCTGACGAGGATGGAGTTAGGCCTGTTGCTCGTTTACGGTAAAATTGAGAGGGCTTGCTAGTCGATTTATGACGTGTTCTTGTCTTAGAAGCAGCGATGTCTGGTGCAACAAAGTCGCTCGGGATCTCGACGACGTTACCGAACGCTGTACGACATGTATCTTTCTCGTCACTTGGCGTGTAGAGCCCTGCTCGGCACAGATAGTTAATTATCAGTTTTTCTTTCGTGTTTGGTGATGATATGCGAGAGCGGCTTACCAGTGTCTTCTCTATCGTCTAGGTTCCTGAAAGTCCATCCCATTGACTCGTTAAATCGATCCAGATCTACAAAGTTAGTCATCTTATGAAGGTGTCAACTGTTACAGGACCTTATCAGTGATTGTTCTTACCTTTCATACATTTCCTCGCTTGGTTTAGAGTAGTCATCGATGACATCGCTCAGAGCAACTATCCGATACTCGATCAGTTTGACAAGCGTAGCTGACACGCCCGACGAAGAAGCGAAGTCTAGAGCTTTTGTATTCAAGATCAGGGATATTTTTAGTGAATGATGCGATCAGTGAAGTTGTCCTTTCAAAGTACGATACTCCTACACCCCATTTGTTCAGTGACGTTCCGCGGTGAAGATGTGTGGTCAATTTTCACGACTTGATACTGTGTACCTTGTCGTGACTAAATCATGGGAGGGGAGTCGAATTTGAGTTTTTTTTTACGGCATCGATGTGACACAAGTACTTGTTGACAATGTTGTTTTAAGACCTCACGCACTGGTAGCGATCCGATCGCCATAGGCATGTCCGTTTTTTTTTTTTTTTTTTTTTTTTTTTTTTTTTTTGCCGCATGTGTGCCCTAAAGATTCTTTAGTTCACACAATAACCAAGCCTTCGCATGATCATGAACGTCTAGCATTCGAAATTGGCCAAAACTGGTCACACGAACGTCAGTGAAAGACACGGACAATCAATGCCTCTTCATTATATGTCTCAACATGTCGAGTTCACAAGGTATAATCGCACTGTCCAGATTGTAGCGAAGCATCTAGGAGCGCCTTTCTCGATGGGTAGCATACAGTCGTGAGTACGGCGACGGTGGAAGGCGCGCTGGCGTCGAGAGCAACGCAGTCTCAGATCCATCGTCAGCACACAAGAGCGACACAACATGTCGCCACTCTTCGAACTTCACCTCGCTAGAATGCTCCAGTCCAAGACGATCACGGCCACGTGGTGTGTAGTACTGGATCCAGAACCACAGCAAACCACGGAAGTTATCACACACATAGCCTTGTTTGCCTGACACGTCCTCATGGTCGCGCAGAGCCTCTAGGATCGCTGGAAGTCGCTTCCGACGATGCTGAAACACGAGGATCACGATGGCTGTGTTCAAACAGCAAATGTTCTCGTGGTTGATGTCGTCCATCGTTACGATCGTCATGAGATCACGAAGTAGTCGCACCAGATTCACTGTCAGGAACTCGCTCATGCGGTCCATCTCGTAGTCGTCAGCCATACCGAATGTTCCGCTCTCCGGCTGCTTTGCAAACTTCTCAGAGGACAGAAGCATCGAACGAATAAACACATTCGAGTCCACCAGGTTCAAGATTACCACTTCTGTAAACCCGAGAGCAAAAAAGGAGCAGGTTAAAAGTATTAAACACCAGCAATGACAAGAAATTGAACGTACCCATAAAAGCTGCGAACTGCGTATTGCTCAGAAGTCCATGGAACAGCTGCAACGTTTCTCGGTTGCCCTTCGTCATCTCTCCTAACAAGTCGAAGGCCGACTGGAAGCTACCTTGCGAACGGTACGCGCCTCCACTCAGAATTTCCGTAATCAGTGCCTGCAGCAAAGGTGTTCGCGCTACGAAGAGCTGTTCACTCGGAGCAGCGCGTCGCAAAAATGCTTCTACACACGAGGCCAACCAGAATCGATAGATCGAGTCAACTGGTTGCTCAATCAGCGCGTGGATGATCTTCGATAGAAGTCCCTTGTCTGGGTGGTCGAGGTTAATAGGTGTGGAGCCGCCTTCATTCATCAACTGGATCTCTTGCTCACTAAGCAACAGCAACTTGCTGGTATTGTCACTGTAGTCGCGATCGCAAAAGTTGTGGATCAATCGCAAAAACTGGATCTTCAACGAAGCATCCAGACTGCAGTCGCAGCCAGGTCCGTGCAAAGGCTCATGCGCTGGATTGGGCGTCACCGTTGTGTTCCACTGGAATTTGTCAAACATGAGGTTGAGCGTCTTCACCAGTCCCATCTCGGCCAGTCGTTCCTGGAAGTCGACCTTGCGTTTGCCGTTCAACAAGGTGCAGAGTACAAAAAGCACCTCGACGCGGTACGGCGCCAGCACGATAGACTTCATGATAACCTGCGCTTCGGCATCTTCTCGTGCGCGCTGGTCTGGCGAGCGGTTACGGAAGATCAAGTCTCGAAGGATAGCTGTCTCCACAGAGAACGGGTGCTGGTGCTGATGTGACGAGCTGGAGTTAGCATCTCCTGTTGCGGAGTTCGCAGCTGCTCTTGCCTGGTGATGCCTGTGTAGAATCGTTAGATCTCCTGAAGATCCGAGCGCTGGGTGTGTCACGAGCCGATCAATCGTGTCCCAGTCACTGCGATCACTTGTGTGGTACAGGAGAGTCGCGAATTCGGCAGACGTAGCGAGCTCCGACGAGAAAGGCTCGTACACTGGGTTCAACGCGAAGTAGAAGTTCTGTACCTGTAATACACGCAGCAGCCGCTGCAGGATCAGTGGCGAGTTGAAAATCAGCGCGTGGTTGCGATCCACGATGTTGTCTGCACGCATCATGCGATTACGACGCAATTTCAGCAGCTCCAGCGACTTGATCACCTCTGCACAATCAAATAAAGAGTTAGAAACAGCATTAACAGTAGCCATATTAAACATTATTCACGCACTGGCAGTCTCTAGCAGTCGTCGGTCCTCTGGCTCAAACACGACAAGCGCCAGCACTCGACAGAAGAATGCCAGTTGCCTTGACGACAAAGACTGCATTACTGTGTGGAAATTAGCTGCAGTAACCACATAAGGTCAGTATCATGCCTCTGTTTCCCTCAGAGACCTCCATAACGGCACTTACGGACGCGAGTGAGGTCGAACGCCTCATCTCTAACAGCCAAAATCTCCTCCACCAGCCCAGACGCGTTGTCAAAGAACCGGACGTCGCCCATGAGCTGGAATAAATACACCACAAGACCATCTTTGTCGCAGAGCTGCACGGCCAAGTTCACCGAGAAGTAGCAGAGCTCTCTGAGGATCGCCATAGTGTCGTTCAGCGCATGTTTCCGCAGCGACGCGTCCGTGCCGCTCTTGGCCGGCGCGATAGTCACAGGCACAGGCGTCTCCCATAGAGTTCGAATGTCGTCTCGGCGCTTTGGCTGCTTCTCAGCGTCCTCTAGACGGAGCGCGTGTAGTACACGCAGCAAACACTCGTCACCTCCCAGTCGCAGGAACGTTTCTCGCTCAGCAGCAACATAGCGACCAACACTCTCGCTCGGAATCGGCCCGGCCTCCTCGGCGTGGACGCCGTTAGGGTCCAGTAGCCGCTGCACTAACTCCTGTAGTAGCAATCGCAGCTTACGTCGGTCCTGCGATACGCCATCTAGCAACTTGTAGAGCTCTCGCAGTAACACGACGAAGCTCTGACGACGTCCGTGAAACGTGGCGTGACTCTCATAATCGCGCGTATCGGCGACGTCTAAGGACGAAGCGAAAGGCGCTGGCAGATCTGCCACCGTATGAAGACTCTCGTGCTTCCACTGTGGCGTCTGCGGGGACGATGTGGAACCCGTGACCTGCATGCGACTCAGCGTGCGGAACACGCGGCGACGGCGCTTGGCCTCCATTATTGCGGACTCGACAGTGCACTTGACGTTTGTATGGCCCAATGCGGAATGCGATGCAATTACAAAGGTTTCATTATGCCAATACAAAGGTTTCCTCATTGATGACAATCACTCTGCAAGATGGCAACTCCCGACCTAGAGCTACAGGCGCCGCCGAGCGACGGCGTCTCGTGTCTTCGCTTCGGCTCCCGCTCGCAGCTGTTGGTCTCGTCTTGGGACGCGAAGCTTCGTGTGTATGATGGCGTGCAGCTGCGCACTAGCGTGGATCTACAGGCTCCCGTGCTGAGCTGTAGCTATGGCCAGAGCGACTCTGAAGCTTTCGCTGGCGGTCTGGACTGCCTCGTGAAGCAGATAGACCTCAACACGCGGCAGGTTACGACGCTAGGCACACACGCAGCGGCTGTGAGACACGTTGGCTACTCTTCGGACTTGGGACTGGCGGTCAGCGGCGGCTGGGACGGCGCTATCCGCGTCTTTGACGTCCGCAATGGAGACAACGCGCAGATCCACGAAGCTAAACTGCCCGGCAAAGTCTTCGGCCTGGATGTGCGCCGCCACTTGCTCGTAGCGGCCACATCTGAGCGCCAAGTGTCTGTCTACGATCTCCGGAACTTCTCACAGCCAGTCGTGAGCAAGGAGAGCCCGTTGAAGTACCAGATGCGCTGTGTCAGTGTCTTCCCCGACCTCACGGGATACGCACTGGCATCTGTAGAGGGTCGAGTGGCGTTAGAGTATCTAGAGGACGATCCTACACACAAACGCAGCTATGCGTTTAAGTGCCACCGAGGCAAAGTGGACGACCAGACGCTCGTGTATCCTGTCAACAGCATCGCATTCCATCCAACGTATGGAACGTTCGCTACGGGAGGTTGTGATGGCGTTGTGAATCTGTGGGACGGCGCTAATAAGAAGAGGATCACGCATTTGAGGCAGTACCCGACCAGCATCGCGGCTATGGACTTTAATCACGACGGATCGGTGCTGGCTATTGCAGCCTCGTACACATACGAACAAGGCGAGAAAGAGTACGTGATGAGGTGGGGGTGGTGCATTGGGTTTATTTGACTAATGGTTGTTTATTGGTGTTGTGTTTTAGCCACCCGAACGACGCGATCTTCCTTCACACGGTGCAGGACGCGGAGGTACGACCCAAGAAGAAAGCAGCGGCGTAGATGATGATGAAAGACAATGGGCAGGAGCTTTGAATCAGTTTCAATGGATGGAGAGGTGACAGCAGATATGAAGTCATCGGTCGCCTTTATTCTGCGACGCAGTGCACGAGTACGTTCTAAAGAAATAGAGCTGCAATGATGGGATGGCTGGTATTTATTGTGCTGCTACCCTTGATTCTGAAGCCATGACGGTGTTCTGGTCTTCCACAGGAGCCGACATATCATTCTGTGCTCCAATCCTGCAGGTTGGACAGGGCCCCAATAGCACGTAACACTCGACCAAAGCGACCGACCAAATGTCTTAAACTACCGGTACGTCAACAATTGCGCGGGTTTCTTTCAACGCGCTAATGCATTCAACTTAACGCACGTCCGTGTTAGACCGAATCCAAACTACGCTAGTGCTCACCCCATAGTGGCGCTGAAGTGGGATGCCGCTGTAGTCGCATATTCACCAACCTGCGTCTTCTAGCTGCGCAGAATGCTCGTCACTGCGTGCTCATTGCAGCCTGAATGGATACCGTTATCTGCCAGCACATTCAACTCGCAGCCGCGACCCAGGCTCGACTCCCAGTCGGCACAAAGCAGTTGCCGTCCTCATCATCTGGATTGTGGTTGCTTTCCGCCAACCTGTATGTGGGCTGCGACATCGAAAGTGCTATTACCCGAGTTGTCGTAGATGTTTGACCTGCACCACGACACCCTGAACCGCTTTGCCGTCGATCTAAGGCGACTGACCATGAAGTATGTATTAAAAAGACTGATCTGCGTCGTCTCGCCTACAAGAAACCCCAATTAGGACGGTCGAAACGGAATTCTTTTCTCTTCATTCTGAGACTCAAGGCGTCGGAGAAGTTGACAACAACCTGTTAGCAAGTGCTGAAGATCTTGACGTAGCGGACGGTGCTGTGTGTCCACCCGCTTCACAAATGGTGGTGGTGTCACCTCCAAGACATGACGCGGGTTCAGCGTGGCGATGAAGATATAATGCGTGATGACGTTGTTGCCTTCGATGATGATGCATTTGTCGTACAAGACGCCACTCTGATTAGCGTTTTGCTATGTGCGATAACGAGCTGATTCTTGGCTGCTTTATCGCACGTCACCTTAACGGCAACACCGTCGCCGTATCGACATCGCCGTCCACGAGGATGGTATCGTGCGACTTCTATCCGGGATTCTTGGTGATGCGTTCCACGTTGAAAGTGACTTTGCATCCCATCTAGGTGGTGGAATCTTTAGTGCCAGCGAATTGAAATGGCTACTGGAATTGAAATGGCTACTGGAATACGATGACTCCCGGTTCATGGTCCTGCGTTGGTTGGTATATGTTGTTGAAGTGCTGGTTCGGTTAGTATTGTTCCACAAAGCCCTGACTCCGAACTTTACACTCACAGCTAACGCTCCTTGGCATCAGCCCACCAACGGTGTTAGACCCCGACATACCCGCTACTGTAGCATCGGCCGAGTCTTTGTCCAATGTCAACATACGGGATCATCGCCAATGTCGAGGGAGTAGATGGAGCAGTTTTTGCGTGGCAGTGCTGTCATTAGCTGTGGACCGTCGAACTGCTCAGCCTGTTACGAGCTTTAATCTGCCGCTACAGGGGATCTTCGGTTAGTCTGATATTCTCCAGGGTTCCTGTCCTTTTCGCATGGCAACGTACGACTGCGTTGGCGCTGTGAAGATCGGTTTGATAAATTCTCTAGTGCAGTTGGCCAGGAAGCTAATTATTGCAACTTTGCAGATGACAAAGTAGTTAAAGGCTCAGTTACGCGGGGAACACTACTCAATGGTGATATTATTCTTGCGTCAAAGGCGCAATATTTTTTCAGCACAGAATATGTACTGAAATACAAGTATAACGCACCGTCGAAGTTCTTCTTTTTCTTAGTTGTAGCGGTAACCAAGTTGCTGAAAAAGTGTCGCTTGCAATAATGGTACGTCAAGACCTCAGTCAACGCAACTCAAGCAAGGTGTCTTTGTTGTTGCTAGCCTTCTAACCCAAAATAAGATAACTAGACGAATGCAGGCGTCTTTGGTGAGGTGACACCTCACGTTATTTTTTTTTTTCCGATCGCCCAACAACAAACTCATTCACCCTGGAGTGATTGGTTGAGCCATTGTGTTAACTTGACACCGCCAACAACGATCCCGGCTGCCGCCGCAACGCTGAGTACAGCAACAAGAGCCTTCGCCCACTTGGGCAGCGGCGTATGGTCCTTCATCGAGTGAAGAATCTGAGATGATTGCGTCGAAGTTGTGGAAGTAGTCGAAGTCGAATGCATCACGTTCATCATCGCAGCGTAAGGAGGTACGATCATACGTTCTTCACTTTCCGGTTTCTTCCTCTTCCTGAGACGGCGAATTTTGCTGTCCGGATCGATGCGCTTCATGTCGGGCACACGAACAACATCGCCTGGAGCAGCTTCGACGGCGCTGGCGATGCCCTTGTCACTTGCGGTGAAGGTAGGCACAAGCAGGGCCAGGAAGCACGCAAAGCGCATTTTGTACCGGCACAGAAGGAATATAATAGGACGTAAGCAACTAATGTATGTACACAGTGATCCCACGGCGTTCACGATGCAGTACGGTCGACGACAAGAGCGTGCAACAAGATGGGGAGTTGGGACTGGTTTCTACACTTCTGGTATTAGAACTACCAGTCTGGTAGTAGAATACTAGGCTGGTATTATAATTCTAAAGCATGTATTAAAATTCAATACATGTAGTGCCTTTATATCTGTGTATTTAATCTCCAACGAGTAACAATTAACACACAAAAAGAACGAAGTGTACTATAAGTATTACTAATGGCGTGACTAATACGCAAAAACGCAAATACTTTTATGTTAAAATGAAGTACTTCGTTTTTACTCCATCCTGCACAATTAGTACAAAAGAGTACGATGATAATACAACATGCTTCTGCTTGCATCAGCAGCGATATCAAGAAACTACGGTTTACCGACAACCTAGTGTGGGTTACGGATTCGCTTAATCAAACATGCTAGAAAAAAATCCCAACTTGCCGAGTTTGATAGATGTTGTGGATTTGGAAGCGACGACTTGCTGGATAATACAGCCCAAACAGAGCATGTAAGGAAAAGAACGGTTGATTGACTGACAGAATTTCGGTAGAAAGAACGGATTGAGTGAGCGAGACGATCTAAAGTGAACGTCTGACGTAAAAGAAAGTCGATTGATAGATTCTGGCCTTAGTCATCGCTACCATGTCGGAGCCAGCGACAATTCCACCTCGGTCAAACCACGCTGTTCGATCATGCTAAGATGATCTCGGACTTGACCCGACACCCTCGACGCATCTCTTAGTACACCTACACGAATGACCACAGCTAGAGGAAGTCAGAGCTCGAAATAAAATTATTTTGTGTCTTTCTGTTATTTTGCCGAGTCCTTCGTAGGAGTTGACCCCTCAGTTAATCTGAGGTTGATGGTGGCTAATTCATTGAAGATTTTTTTTTTGCAAATCCTGTAGGTACTCATCAAACTTCTAGCTGGACCAGCTAGAAAATGCAGTGCATACCAGTTGCAGGCAGAAGGAAGGAAATCCGCGCTAGGACCGTGCAGGAGCCCGGAGAAAAAGTAATGCGTGTTTGGTACGATAAAGCAAAGCATTTATCGATTAAGCTACTCTGAATTCATATTTTATCTGCTTGTTGTCCGTTATAAGCTAGGTTACATACCTCTCAATGGTTTCGTTCCCTTCAAGTCCTACGAAAGGCCTTCTCACGCGCTCAATGCCCGATCGCCGAAAGAATCGCCACCAAATTTGCAGGACCTTAGCCCAGACCTCCTTAAATCCGGCGTATGCCGGAATGTGTTATATTAGATTAATTCCGGCACTTTCAGAATCGACTTTCCTGCAATGTGCCGGCTTATAGCTACCGCAGTTGCTGGCCACGCCACTGTACTCAAATGTTGAAACAGTTGTTTAATTCTCACTTAGACACAAAGAAATTGGACTCGGCCTATATCATGTTAGCAAATACAGTTGCTAAAGCCCCATCAACACATACAGGGATAGCTCAAAGGCGCACGATGACTAAAGCGTCGCCAACTACAGCCCGGAGGCTTTTGACTCACAAAGGAAAGTAAGTTATGTGAAGATATGTTTGTAAGATCGAATTGACTATCGCTTTACCCATCTACTGGAAAATAGATAAAGATCGTTCCGTTTCAAGGCATTCCTAAGGCTTAGCCAGCGCTTTCATATGCATCCTCCCCTCTGGCCGGAGCCAGGACCAAGATTTAGAGGGAGGGGGATATAGCAAAATCTATCCCCTGTTAAAGAGCTAGAGCGTGCCCTATGTCATCGAATTTCCTGCGTGTGTATGTATGCAAGTACTCTCGCATGATCGTCGATGCTCATCGGTGTAAATAGTACGGGTCGTGCTAGCATGCAGCTATCAAGGAGGTCTCGTGAGCCGTGCGACTGTACATGTATGTAGCGGACGCAATGGCTGCGCAAGGTCATCTTTCTTGCAAGAAGAGGCGGTTACCGAGCCCGATTTGTAGTACATAGGACAGGTGCGTTACCTTTACAAACCCTAATTCAGGGCTATAATTGCAGTTTTAGCATAGTTAAGTCGAGTCGGAAAAATTAGGTGAAGTCAGAATAAAAATAATAGGAACGCAGAGTGTAGCCATGCGAAAAGAAGGCTGATGCAAGCTGACAGGACGGACACCGTGCTTTAGTTAATTTTAAGGCCCAGCTTTGCTGGATAACAGCCGCTTTTATTTAACTCTTTTGTTTACTTTGGTATAATGCAGATCGAGAGGATGCTATTTATTAAGTACATGAATTATTTATGACAGTCATTGTATGCAATGGTTAGGCCACTGGCCCGCCGTCCAGAGGTTGGGTATCACAACGCATTTCGCTTTCAAGACCACAAGGCTCCTCCTTCCAGGGGGGGGGG